CACATAACGTTTTCAAAATTGGATATCACGGTTAGTAGAGGCCGGTCTTCAGACCGGGCGAGAGGGGGTGCTCATAGCTGACCTTCCCCGATCGTACCCAAGCTCCCGAGCCGAGACAACTCCGGTGATGACGGACATGTGGCCTTCGGCACCGAGTCAGGGTTTCCTAAATTTCCCCATTTTTAAAAAATATTTAGGTGGCGACTCTGTATCTGGCAAAGCAGTCCATGTTTGGCACTACTTTTTCAAAAATCTGTTTCTCAAAACAATTTGCCAGATTTGGACTCTTTGGTTCAGATTAAGAACCGTGACACAAATCGAGAGTCCGAACTGTAGCAACGAGGTCCCCCTCCGCGGGCTTGCTACATCGGTCTGTTAAGACCTACTGTACTGTTTGCTATTGGATGTACTACTTATGACTGCTATAATCGAATAACTGATATACTGTTCAAATGACTATTTTAAATACTGAAAGGACATTCATTCCTAACCTCTTTATGCATATGTTATTCACTAGGCTTTAGCTTACTGTTTATATATATATGTAGGTGTCCAGGCACCGGATCGGAGCTCGGAGCGTTGGGTTAAACTCCCTTTTGTCAAGCCAACCACTGTGCCTCACTGTGAGGTTCCAAGTTCTTCAAGCTAGGGCTTCTGGGGTGTTTTAGATTTTCCCCTTTCTGTTCCTGTTTTGTATAGACTATATGAGACTTGTACTGTACTGTTCTAACAGGGACTAGGTCCCTGTCCTGGATGATTGTATATGTGTGTATATATGTTTTGTTTATGAATGTGAATATGTTATGAAAAGTCTTTTTGCATACAGACTGTCACAGCTCATTGGACATCTTTCATTTACTGTTTTGGCTTCCGCCAGCGCCTGTACTCTGTATTACTGTTATTACTGTTAAGCAGGCCTTCGGTAATTACGGATTACTGGCCGGTTATGGTGCTAAACCCATAGGGGCGGGTTTGGGTCGTGACAGTTACTCGATAAACTGCTCAACCCATTTAGTTAGCTCGGCCTGCTACTTCTTATCCATAGATTGAGGTTGGTTTAGCCGTAGTCCAAAATTTTGATCTCAAGAGTGCGGCCCGTGTGTACCATTTGATTAAATTTGACCCTTTTAAAAACAATCATATATTTCTCAACTACCTAATAAAAATGAATCATTTTTTTTTATATTACATAATTGTTTATAGCATGATTCACATAATGTTTCGGAACCGCTGAATAATTAGTGTGTTAGATAGTATATTCATAGCATCATTCCAATGTGATAGTGATATTTACGCAATTGATCACTACAGCAATTGGTTTAGCGAATCCGATACGAAAAGAGACATTTTCAAATAACATTTTGAATTTTTTATAAATCAAAATATTGATATTTATTTGCGTACTTACAGAAACCAAGTCAAATATATTTTGTCATCGATCATTCTTTATTTATCAAAATTTTATCCGATTCGATCCCGGTATAATTGTCACGACCCAAACCCGCCCCTATGGGTTTAGCACCGTAACCGGCCAGTAATCCGAGGATTACCCAAGGCCTCCGAATAAATTAACGAACAATAAGGGGCTGCGGAAGCAATAAAACCAAATAGACAAGGTCCAATGAGCTGTGATAACGTACATGAGACAGAAAATTTCAAAACTTATATATGTGCATAAGCATGCCAGTCAAGGACACCAATATTTACAAAAGTGTACATCCCAAGACCTGTCTTTACAACACATACAGAGACTAGCATGAAAACAAAAACAGCCATAGCATTAGGTTTCGACCGGAACCTCCTCGGGAGACGCAACAGTTGGCTGACAAAAACAGAACGGAAGGCCATCAACTTGGGCCCTAGTCACACGCCGGCTCACCTACATACATAATATAAACTGTGAGCGAAAACCCAGTGAATAATAACAGAGTAAAGGGTTTAATGAATGATGTCCATCACAGGGTTAGAAATCAAATTCTTATCAGAAACAGAGTCTTATGCGTATTCAGATTCCAAATCAGAAACAGATTCATATACGTATTCATAATCATTTCCATATTCAGATTTCGCATATAATCATACGTGGTACATCCATTAGCGTTAACAAATCCGATGACCCATAAAGGGACGGCCTTAAAGGCATTCCGATGACTCATGTGCACAGAGACGTTTCTGATGACCCATGAAGGGACCTGATGACCCATAAAGGGACCTGATGACCCATGAAGGGACGAATATCATATGATGCTAAGGATGCCACGAATAACTTTCACAATTTTGGACAACCATTCATTCATTTCAAACATAGCATAACATTTCAGAGAACTAATTACTTCGTATCATAATATTCAAAAAATACTTAACATTGAACATAACTTTACAAAGTTATTACTCACAGTGGGCCTTGAGACAGACAGACGGACTAAACTTGGTCAAACGGTACGTGGCACGTGACCTACACAACACATAACAGATGCATACTTGAAACATACGTTCTAATTGCACAAAACTTATGTCGTTAGTTCTTAGTGTGTTTCTAACCTTAAATCTTTACTATAGAGTCTTAAACATGGCCTAGGAATGTCTAGGATGGAATGAGGATGCAAAGATGCATTTTAAAACACTTTTCAAAATTTTGCTGAAATAGGGGTCCCGCTCGAGCGTGGCTTTCTACGCTCAAGCAGACATGAAGGCAAAAGGAATGTGCTCGAGCGTGGATTACTCCGCTCGAGCGGACTGCAAGCTACAGTAAAAGTACTGGATGCATGAAATTCACGCTCGATGGGCGCTCGATACCCGCTCGAGCGTGAGACACAAGTCCTCGCTCGAGTGTGCATTACCTCGCTCAAACGGACTGTAACACATGCAAAGTACTGGGTACACGCATTTCCCGCTCGAGCGTCACTTTCCCCGCTCGAGCGGACTGCATGAACTCAGTATGTACGCTCGAGCGTGAAGTTTCCCGCTCGAGCATGAGTCCAAAATCTGGAATTTTCAGATTTGAACCTCAAGCTCAAAACTCAACTACAATGCATCAAATTCGATCATTTTTGGCTAATTTTCTGGAAAACTCTTGTAAACTCATAGTATGACATGTTTTGAAGATCAATTTTGTAAAATCAAGCCCAAAGGTAAGTCAATTGAACACAATTTCAACAATACTTTCAAGAACATGATGTACATGCAATAAGCATGAGCTTAAATGAATTTAAAGCTCCAAACACAAGATCAAATGGGTCAATCCTTTCAAAAACATGAGGAAATCATGAGCTAGAACCATAATATGAACATGCATGTGGAAGTTTTCATGAAAATAACCTCAAAACTCAGCAATGTATATATGCATGCAAGAATTCCTACTCAATTCAACATTTAGAACCAAAACTTGACTCTAAACTCTAGTTCACCATGAACCATGCAAGAAGTAACTCAAAATTACAATTGAAAGGGAAATCCCCTACCTTAAACCTTGAATTCCAAGTCTAGGAGCTCAAATTTGCCAAGCCTCTTCAATTCTCCTATGTTCCAAGCCCAATCTCTAGATGAATTCAACCTTCTACCTCTCCCTCTCTCTCTAGTCGGTTATAACATGGAAAATGGCTGAGGAAATATATTTCAAAGTGTAATAAGGTTGATCTCCGAATCAAGCCACTAAGTGGCATAATGGTAGATAAGTCCAACTAATATAATTTAGCTTTATTTAATCATATCAAATCAAATTTAAACTAAATTTACCATAAAATTCTAAAAATCCTAACTAGCACATAAATCAAGTCAATTTCTGATTCGGGCGCCGATAAGACTTTCGATTCATAGTTTAAAGTCAAAGACCTGAACAGATCATTTTATCGCAAACAGATAGAAACACGTAAATAATGCAATACATATGCAAATTAATCCCAAATCCTTCCTAGATTAGTGTTAAGCATAATTAATCATGAATTAACATTAATCGGAGGTCGGGGTCAATACAATAATTTGTCATGTTCAACCTAATTGATTATATTTCATTTTGTCCAAGAGCCCGCATCTTTGGAATTTGGGGAATTTAATCTCTTAGGGGAGCTTTGGGATGATCTAAACAAGTACACTTTTTGACTTTTTGTGAAATATGGGTTGAATATGGGTTGGGTTTGAAATAATGTGGTAGAGAGATGATGTGACTTAAATAGGATAGTTATTTTTTCACTTTTTAGAGTACGCATCTTTGGAATTTGGGGAATTTAATCTCTTAGGGGTGCTTTGGGATGATCTAAACAAGTACACTTTTTGACTTTTTGTGAAATATGGGTTGAATATGGGTTGGGTTTGAAATAATGTGGTAGAGAGATGATGTGACTTAAATAGGATAGTTATTTTTTTCACTTTTTAGAGTACCCCAAACAAGGCCAAAATTTGTGAAATATGAGTTGGGTTTGAAGTGATATGGTAGAGAGATCGTGTGACTTAAATATGATAGTGACTTTTTGACTTTTTTAGAATACCCCAAACAAGGCCTTAATGTCACTTGACCCAATAAATTGCTCAACCCATCTACTCAGCTCAACTTACTACTTCCCAACTTTGGATTGAGTTTGGTTTTTTTTTTTTTTTTTTTTTTTTAGGGGTGTAAATTTGGCCCAGGCCGGCCCATGTCAGGCCTTGCGAACTCTCACCAAAATTCAAGTTAGGTCGGGCCGAGCCGACCCACAAGTTAGAAAATTAGGCCCAGACCCACGAGTATTTAGGCTTTGGACGGGCCAGGAGTTGGGGGCCTGGGCTCGGACTTGGGACAGGCTTGGGCGGGCCTAAACATATATATATATATATATATTTTTTTTCTACCAAAAATTTTATTATTTTTTACTATAAAAAAATATCAAGTCTCGAGCCGGACTTTGAATGGACCTTAAGCAAGCCGATGAGCAAATGATCACTCAGGTCCTAACCCAGGATCTTGAGCTGGGCTTGGACTCGGGCCCATCCTAGACCGCAGGCCGACTTGGTTACTTTTGGTGATCGGCTCATCGAGTCCATACGATAGGAGACATTTTCGAAAAACATTTTGGATTTTTTATTAAATCAAATCAAATATATTGTTAGTATTTGTTTGCGTACATACAAAAACCAAGTCAAATATATTTCGTCATTGAGTCATTCTTTTATATTTCTCAAAATTTTGTCCAATTCGATCGATCAATCTTTACCAATCCCCTGCTCAAACCCCTTGATTCGATCCATTGATACATTTCCTTTCACGCCGTGGTTGTGCAATCAGGTAATCGTAAATGGTTTTAATTTTAATTTTGATTTAGTTTATTGTGTATGATCTTTCCATTTTACTTTTTGTTTGAACCCTTTCCTAATTTTACCTAATTTATATATTTGCAATTTGTTCTTGAAGACTCAATCTTTTGTTTGTAAGTTGAGGTTTTATCTGATCGGAATTTGGATTTGAATTCATCTGCAATCTATGATTTTGTCGGTGAAAGTGGCATTCTTGAATTTATTTATTTATTGTATTTAATTTTGTTGTTCTGATTGGAGTCCAACATGGCATAATAGTTTCTTACATTGGTTTGACACCGATTACTGATTGACACGATTAGGGTTTTGCTACCTTTGTTGAGATATGTTCTTCCATTTTTTTTTAATAGGGAATTGATTTTTGAAGATTTTGTATCTGCTTAGTTTTAGTTGAATGTGAATTGGGATTTCTGAGATGAAAAGTAATTGTGGATTTGTTGAATAATGTGATATGGGTATTGAAATGATATATTTATTGTAAGATCTTTTGCTTATATGCATTCATCTTTGCCCTGCAGCCGAGATTTTTTGCAGCTACAGGTTGCTAGCTGATTTCCAGTCTGCCTTTGCTTTCAACCACAGGTTGCTAGTTTTTTATTTTGTTTTCGTTTTAAAATTTAAATGCAATGACCTTAATCAGGCCATATTCAAACAAACTCTGTTGATCTGGAAAATTAGGTCAATCAGGTCTGTGCATCTGGGAATCAAGTTAAAGTGGATTTACATAATAAGATTTAAGGTGGGGCTTTGGAGCAACTTCTATTGTGGTTGATTCTATGACGAGATTGTTGGATGTATCATCCGACAATCCTGAGTTGAGAAATGATTGCCTTTTGAGATTGGGTTACCATCAGTTGAGGGTAAGGGAGGAGGATATCCCGAAGACAGCATTCCGTATGCGGTATGGCCACTATGAGTTTCTTGTGATACATTTTGGGCTAACCAATGCCCCAGCTGTGTTTATGGACTTGATGAACTGAATCTTCCGAGAGTTCTTAGACCGTTTTATGGTCGTCATTGTAGACGACATTCTGATTTACTCACCCTCCGAGGAGGAGCATGAGGAACACTTGCGAGTAGTGCTTGAGTTGCTTAGAGCCCATAAGTTGTATGCTAAGTTTGGGAAGTGTGAGTAGAGCATGGTAGTGGCAATTGGGTTGTGGCTGGAATTTTGACAGGCGGAATTTTCATTTGGGTTTGTAAGAAGGTGATAACACTGAATCTTTCATGTTTTGAATGGGAAATTTTAATTTTAATTTTTGGTGTTTTACCATGATATTACCAAGTTGCCAACTTTTATTTCTGTTACCAACTTTAATGAACCTTATCTTGTTAAAAATTGAAAAGTATAAATTTTTTGAGAAATGCTAGAGATCCCTAAAATATAACCCCTAATTATGTGTCACTGGCAGGGGGGTTGGGTCTTAGGTGGTTGATTTTTAAACCACTCCACATCATTGTGTGTGGGTCAATTTAGGGGGTCATGTTTTAGGGGTCTCAAGCTTTCTCAAAAAACTTTATACCTTGTTTTTCCAAAGGACCTCCAACGCCTTTTAAACTTTTTCACCTTTGTTTATTATTAATGTGTTTATTTTAGTTGTGTTTGTAATAATTTCTTAAACCCTTGCTCACTTATTAATAAAAGAAAAAATGTAAAATCCTACTTGGTTGTAACCTTCTGCACATTTAGATACGTATACACTTGTTCTTGATAAGATTGATTTCTTTGAAATTAATTGAACAATTTTTCGTATTGAGTTTATTTCCCCGATTGTACACATGTGCCCTTATGTAGAAGATGCCCTTACTTCAGGATGCAAATTATTGAGAATTTATAATAGATTTTAGTTTTTATTTCCGAACATTTCCTCACGTTTCCAAATTCTTTCATCCTTTCCCTTGTGTTCCCAAAACATTTCTGTTTCTAGGCTCACTGTAACAGCTCACCAAAACAAAATTTTGATCCTAGCTTTGCTTGGCATATTCGAGTTAAGGCAATAATTTGTCACCTCTTTCTACAATAGATATATGTGTATTGAGGATAGTGTATCAGTATTTGAGATTCTATAAATTTATGCTTCATAAAAAGATTACGAAAAAGGTAGATCTTTAAAATAATCATATTAAACCACTAGTTTATAAAGGTATAGCACCGTCAATGACGTGTGAAAAAGCAGAAGATTTTCACAAATGCTAAAATTCTAGTGTTCCATGTCTCCGGCACCTTTTCATCATATCTGTTCTGTCAAATATTACAAGATGTCAGATTTCAACTCCCTTGCTCGTGAGTTGCTTTGATTTTGACAATAAGATTCTTAGGTGTGATCCGTACGATCCGGACGGTTTTAAGACATGGGCTTTGAGAGGAGGGTGCCTGGCGATTCCTGGAGTTTAACGATTATTCAACAAGTTGATTTAAGGTGTTCCTTGTCACGGGTAGAGATGAATCCACGCTTGGTCAGGCTACTCTTGATAATTTGCAAAACCAAGGATTCATTGGTTATCAACGGCTGATGTTGAGGTGAGACACATATATCTTCACAATAATGTTATACTAATCATATTTTTATATATTATTTTATGTGACACAATCACAATTATTAGATATTAATGAATAGTTTGTGTGAGACTCATTGCATTAATAATTGTGATTGTGTCACATGATGAGATGATATTTAAAATATAATATGAAAAGATGATAAGTATAATATTATTGATAATGGCGCAAGCACTAATATATATACACAATGACTTTTTGATTTATGATTAACGACTTTTAAATTGTATTTAGATAATAGATTTAAGTAGAAATTTGTGGGGAAAAAATAAAAATAAGAAAAAAGTGATAAAAATTTAGATCATATTTTTTGTCGCTTTTTTCTTCTCTCTTTCTTTTTCTTCATAAATTCGTTCTCAAATTCTAAATAAATCCAAACACATAGTTTGTATTCATGCATAAAATGCACTTCATGTTCCATATTTCTTAATACCATGTGTTGATATGTCAAGGATTATCATCCCAAAATTCGTTTAGCCTCTCTTCCAATGCTCTCTTAATTATTGGTTTATGTAAAAAAAAATAAAATAAAATAACATGTGAATATTAAGATATGATTTAATGATTGAAAGTATATTGAGACAACGAGATTTAAGAATAGATGATCAATTGTCTAATATGAGTAACGCAGTGATACTTGGCCAAGATTCTCTTTCCAACTATCTCACTCTCACACTGCACAATGTGGTTGAAATCTCAAAATATGATCCATGTGGTTAAGAGTGTATTGATGACATATATTTGCGACAGGGAATATCGTGCCTATGGTATCTGGCTACGTATTGTACAATTAATATAATTTGATTAATTAGTTTTTTTTTCTTGGTCGGCCATCTATTGGGGTAGGAGTACGACATATAAGGGGCGGAGTGCAATGGTGTACAAATCAGGAATTCGTGAACAACTAGAAGAAGAAGGTTACAGGATTTGGGGCAACGTAGGAGATCAATGGAGTGACCTTCAAGGGAATTGCACTAGCAATCGGACTTTCAAACTTCCTAATCCCTTATACTTTGTTCCCTAATGGTCTAGTCATGTGTAGCGTTAATAATTTCGTATTAATAAAAATGATACATGATATGATATATTATCAGTAATGTTTTATAAATGATGGGAGTTAAAAGAGATGGGAAATGAGAAATAAAAGAGTTCAAATGAATTGTATGTATAATATTTTAGTGTTTTAATAGATTTGGGGGGACCTTATAAAGTGGAATATTTAAAGTGGAATATAGCATAGACAAAACGTTGATCTTTTATTCAGTCCAAAAATGATAGGAATATTAATAAACATATCTATAATATATATTAGTTATAAACAACATTAAGTGAAAATAATATTAAAGTCGCCAACAAACATAATAATTGACCTAATTTTTGTATTTGATACTCAATTTTAGAATTTTTAGTGTAAAATAAGATATTATTGTGCAACTATAGTGAAATTTCACTATTTTAAAACAAAAATAAAATAATTTTATCATTTTAGAGTCCTCAATTTGAATATATTAGTCTTAAATTTGGGATTAGTCGTTTTAGTCTCTTAGGCTTCGTTTGGCATCATAGATTGAGGTTTAAATAGTCACAAAATGACAAAACAAATTTAAAAAGTCAATAAGATAAAATGTCACATCCAAACCATAATCATTTCAATTTTTCTCTCACAAAATCAAAAAAATCAAAAAATTCATTCCAAACGAGATTTTTTAGCCCAAGATAAAATAGCTAAAAAGTCAACCCAATTTCCAAACAAAGGGTTAATTTGTTTAGGAAATTGTTAAAACTTTATTTCATTTCTCACAAAAAAAATTGTAAGATTTAGTAATAAACTGATTGGTTATAATTTTTTTTTAATATTGAAATTGCACATTAAAATATAGATATAAATAATTAAATCTCACTCATATCCCCCTCTCACATACTTTATTTTCATAAATATTCAAACACGATAATAAAAAAAATACAACTTTAATTATATTTTTCACCCAAATAAAAAAGGAAAAATTGGCGAAAATATTTTTGTGAGTGTGTATGACATTAGGTACACAAATTATTTTTGTTTTGATGACAAAAACATGATTAATGGAAATATTTTGTGAGGAAAAAAAAATTATTTAGAAGGAATTCCCCCTCTCTCCTCTCTTTTTTACCCCATTGCTTCCAGAACGTTGCCAGAAGTAGCCACGGGTGGTGGTGTAATATGGACAACTAGAAAGATAAGATAGACAAAAAATTGACACATAAATAGATAGATACGTACACAAACATATAGACCGATAGACTGATTGATGGGAGTAATAACATTTTCAAAATTATTATTGTTCTTTTAACTCGAAAAAAATAGAATTTTGAACTATTATTCAAAAAAAAAAAAAAATTAAATTAATGATCCGAATGGAAAAAAAAATAAAAATCACAATTAATATATATATATTTTGTTCTTTTGCCACATATTACAACAAACTGACTGCTTAAGTTGCCGTTTGGCATGTGGCATTTTTAGTTAGTTTTTTCTATTTTTTTTTGCTATTTTAGCTCCGGTTAAAAATTTTATTTGACTTGAATTTTTTAACTTTTGTGAAAGAAAAAAATAAAAAAATTATAACTTGAATGTGACAATTTATCTTATTAATTTTTTAGTCTATTTAAAAAAAAAAAAACTAATTTAACCAAAACTCTATCTGCCAAACAAAACCTTAGTCAAAGTTCATATCACGCTCCTTTGCCACCAATCAAGTCTCCTTTGCCACCAATCAAGTCATGAATGATTACCCTTGTGGACACCATGTCCTCGTTTGGGAAGTGGCTATTTTAGAGATTTTTTGACTATTTTAATAGGTTATTTTAGTTTGTGTGTTTAGTAAAATATCACTCTCTAATTTTTGGTAGTAGGAGAAATCAAATATATTTTTTCTTATTAGTTAAAATTCCTCAATAATATTATTAGAGAAATTTCAACTGATCACAAAAAATTTCTCTATGACAAGCTATGTTGAAATTTCTCTATGTCAAATTTTTTTTGTGAAAATGTTGAGGGACCACATCTACTATGAAAATATTACATATTCTTTATCTTATAAAATTTTAATATCAATGATCTTAAACAAAAAAATTCCAATATTTTTCTTACTCATTAGCACCGATCACATTATTGAAATAGGTCGTATTTTAGATTTAATTTTTTTTTATTACATTATATAATACATATTACAAAGAAAATATTGTAAATTTATCTATTTGTTTATTTTGTTTTGTTTTGTTTTTTTGGTCACATGATAGGATGGCATCGCAAGGGCAAATACTTTCAAGTTGATATCGTATGACAAGTTAGTTTGTAATATAAACTAAATTGTTGTTATTATGTTGTCCCATTATTGTTTGTTTCCATATACTGTTGGGGCATCAATGTGATCCCTCACTTCACCATCACTTCACCATCTCCCACATTACAACTCTTCCCCCCTTCTGTTGCAAGCCCACCCGCGCTTCTCTCTCTCTGAGATTTCGTTCCCTCCAAACCCTTCCACACAACAAAAAAGAGTAAAATCGATCTCCTTCCGACTCACCATCAACACCGACAAAGCAACGATCACGAACGCGAAGTTCCACAACAGATCCAGAATCACGATCGGCTTCGAATACGCCCAATCGCTCTGCTTCTCTTCGATCTGCTCCGCCGTCGCCTCTCTTACCCTCAACTTCGGCTCGCGCATCATTCTCCGACTACCGCAGAGGCTCGGCGGGCAGCGCACGAACCGGCGGCTTAGGAAGATCTAATCGGTCAGCAATGGCATCGCATCGATTAGCTATTGTGTGTGTGTGTCTCTGTCCCTCGTAATGTATGTGTGTATCTGTGTGTGTATCTGTGTGTGTATGTGTCTATCTATGTGTGTATCTGTGTGTGTGTATATGTATCTGTGTGTGTGTGTGTATTTGTGTGTGTATCTGTGTGTGTGTGTATATGTATTTGTGTGTGTATGTATCTGTGTGTGTGCGTGTGTATCTGTGTGTGTATCTGTGTGTGTGTGTATATGTATCTGTGTGTGTATGTATCTGTGTGTGTGTGTATCTGTGTGTGTATCTATGCGTATGTGTGTGTATATGTATCTGTGTGTGTATGTATCTGTGTGTGTATCTGTGAGCAACGGTTAGATGAGGGTAATTACGTCCCTCACAATTAAATGGGACTAAACGGTTTACTAGAATAAAAATGGGACCAATTGGTTCATAAGTTTACATTTTGGGATTTATTGGTAAATCTCTCTTAATCTTACTCAAGTTTTTGAAAGTGAATGCAGTGGGAATTGGAAACAAAAGAATTAAGAAAGGTAGGAAAATTTCGGAAACAAAAACTAGAACTTACATAAATTTTAAATGCATGATCAATAATTAGATGTTTGAATATTTGAACTAGGTGTAAAGGCTTAGTAAAGGATGAAAAAAAAATATGAATCCCAATGCATAAATAAATAATCACAAAGCACCACATAAACTTCTCTCAAGAACAAATAATTTATGTGGTTTAAAAATTATTCATCTATGATGTATTTTACAAGTAAAATTTTTATCTCGCGTATGGAAATACAATAAAGTAAAATGATTCAACAATCATATTATAAATTAGTAATATATAAATTCTCGTATAGTTCCAAACTGGGAGAGACATATCCCAACCAAATATACCAAGCATTTGGGAATTAAGCCAATTTATATATCATTTAAATTTTTATGGGAAAAGCCTCTTTTCATAAATTAATTTTACATAATATTTTTCATATATATAATTTTAAAATCATGTTCATTTAGATATTATTAAGCCAATCATGTTCATTTACAAAATTCATGCTTTCACTGTTTACTACAGTAAACATGGATTGAAACCACGCTTTCACTGTTTATTTAAATTATATTTAATTTTTTTTTAATTTTTTTTTCTGTTGTCATTGTTTTGGTGATAATGTAATTCATAATTTTTTTTTTTGGCTTTACTGAAGCCGTTCTCATGTTAATTTTTTTTTCTTTTTCTTTTGTCTTTGTTTTGGGTTAGAAGATGTTATTCAGAAAATTATTTTGGCTTTACTAAAGCCGTTTTCATTTAAATATATATATTTATTCTTTTGTCTTAGTTTTGGGTTAGAAGGTGAGAATGTAATTCAGAAAACCAGTTTAGTAAAACCGTTTTGTACCCGTTTTCATTAAGAAATTAAAATTTTTTCTTTCGTCTTTATTTTGGGTTAGAAGGTGATATGCATGCTCTACAGTTCGAAGCACACCCACATACTGTGCAGTTCGACGAGCAACGACGAAGGGTGAGACGCGAAGAGCACCGCGGAGTAGGCCAAGAAGACGAAGGCCACCGCGAGAGCTCCTAAATTAAATTTTGTCAACATTTTTTGTAATAAAACTTAATACATAATATACGAAGTCACTAATTTACTAAATACTTATACATGCATGAAAACAACATAACTGAAATTGCAAATGTAATAGTTTTCAGTTACATAGGTAGTACAGACATAAGTCTTCCACAAAAATACATTCTGGACACCATGAACTGAACACACATTACATACATCCTAGACACCCTGAACTGAACACACAAAACATAAACATAACAGTTAGACAGACAAACACCTAATTCATGACCTAATATTGCATATTAATAGCCGCAACATTTGACAGACACAATACATAAACATAAACATAACATAACAGTTATACTTAGTCTAACACAGACATTACATATTAATGCATGACCTAATATTGCCGAAGTGTAGACATTAACACCTAATTCGCGGTTAAATCGGCAGGTGGCTCAGAGTCTGAATAATCCGAAAGCTCAGCGTCAGAGACAAGTTCAGGATCCTCCATGATACCCTTGATAGCCGCAACATTTGGTTCTGTTTTGTTCTTCTGGGCATTCTTCTTAACTATGTATAGCTGCATATTGCGGGCTAACCTACGGCACATTTGAGAAATCTCACGTTGTAGTCTTTCACATAGTCGATCAACATTATCGGGATCTTCCTTATGGATCTCAACAGAATGTGCTTTTGGCACCTTCAGTCAATTTTCCCGACATAATCTTTCCATTTGCACTCGCTCTATAAATAGTGCGGGTCATTTCAGAAGTCTAGCGTCTGCTAAACCATATCCTGTTGATTATCTGATGGATCTATACATGAACCTCC